TTTGTTCGGTAAATCATCCATCATAGAGGTCTTGGCCATGACACTTTGAACAGTCCTCTTAGCATCAACCAAAGTCGCTTCCTTTGATTTGGTTAGATGATCCAGTGCTTTGTTGTCATCTTGAAGCTTTGCAATCTCCTGTCTTGCAAGCTTGGGCTCAGCCTCCAAAGCTTTGTTGTCATCTTGAAGCTTTACAAATCGTTCATGTGGAGTGAATAGGTGTATCTTGTACTGTGAGTTTGTATAAGACTCGATCACAAAAAATTTGATCTCTCTTTATAAATCTATTAATTGAGAAGATTAATGTTTCATAAGATGATCAAATACGACTCATTCTTAGTCTTGAATGAGTTATGAACAACTGTATGTGAGAGTTTGTCCTTTGATTTGCATGGGTGAGAATGACTTTTGTAGTCGATTCAATATGCCAACCATTTTGGATATTTGTCCAAATAGATAGTTGGAAAAATAATTTCACGTGATCAAATTTACTCATTCGCATGTAGGGTAAGTAATTTAGTAGTTATAAGTGTTGATTTTAAAACTTGAACAACGGGCCTCCCCCTCTCACTAGTCCAAGAAGAACTTGTTTTTAAGAATAAATCATAAACAAATTGTTCATCGAGAATCAAAGGCATTTAAGGTGTAAGATATAATTACATAAGTAAAATGGACTTTTGACCTAATTGTAATTACGAATACTTGCTTATAATGATTATATCAGTAGATACAACTTAAGAGTGTATAACTTTATCCTACATAGAGTGTATAACTTTATGTTTATAATAGAGCGGCTTATAGTTTAATTAATTAATTTTGTGTCACTAGTATATAATCCATAATGTGTTATTACTGATTTTGAAAGGTCCAAATTAATATTTAATATATTAGAGGTAAGAAATATAAAAATAAAAGTATATTTAATGTTAAATGTTAAAATTAATTTAATATATTTGATATATTAAATATGGAAATATTCTCAAAGTCCCCTCTTTTAAGGTAGCCCACTCGAGCCTTCTTAGGTAGATTAGAGACATGTCAAAACTTTCTTCGTAAATTTTTTTAACGATCAGAAATTTCTCCATATTTTTTTAATATAAGTTTCTTTAACCTTTAGTTATGTTTAATTCTAAATAAAATCAAAATTGATTCAAATGTCCCTTCTGTGCGAATGAAACGTCAATTCCTAACACCTTAATCACAGATCGTTAGGCTGAACCCTCATAGTATTCTATTGATATAAGAAATGAGTGATATGACGTAGAAACAATTAGAGGTTTGTCAGCTTATCCTTAATTGAGAATCATCGAGACAAGGTCATGAGTGGTTTCAAATGATGAGTTGATAGATGATCTCCAAGGAACTAGATTATTATGATAAATGATGAGCTCCAAAGAGATCAAGAAACGACAAACTCCAAGAAACTAGAGAGGTTGAGTCCTAAAGGACTAACCTTGGATAATTGATAATAGCTAAATATAAGGAACTAGCTAGATTATTTTGAGACTTCGAAAAAATATCTTGAGCATGTTACGATCACAAAATGCACAAGAAAATGAGAGAGAATCTACCCAAGAATCTACCAAAGCTTTAAGTGAGAAAAGAACGAGAGGAAGAGAAGCTTTAGGGAGGTCGAATGGACAAAGGCTCTTCATGTCATCCTTGTCCATCTTCAAAACCATTATTTCGTATATGAGGGTCGGGGTGTTCAAAAACCAATCAAAATCGATCGAATCAAACACATCCAAACCTAATTGACTGGTTTGGTCGAATTTTTTTGTGACCTTCGGTCAAGAGATCACAATTATATAAGAGATCATGGTACGAATTTTTATATTTTTACATCCCATAGCTTCGGTAGATCGGTTAGCTCCGTTCATCTTCGGCGCAAGAATACTCGATCAGTGAGCTATTATGCACTCGTGATTGAAGAAATATTTATTTTGCACACAAATTTAAGTACATAAGTCGATTTATCCTTTTTCAGCATAGAAAGATGAACCCAAATGGAAGTTCAAGAAAGGCAATACAACCCCAAATGGAAGTTCAAGAAAGGCAATACAACCCATTATTGATAACAACAACTAAATTTGGAAGGCGGAGGTTTATTATTGTGACATGGAGCTTAAGAATAGTCGCAGATGGAGAAAATAAAGTTGTTGTTGCACTTAACTTCAGCACACCCAATAGATGTTGTGTCCTCCGCCACCAAATTCAGGAAATGCCCGCACTCTTCCTTCACGCACTTCTTTGTTTTGGGGTCATAAAACTCCTTCTCGCTAGCCCAAAACCTCACTGTCAATTCTGCTGTTGTCTTCTCAAATGCTTCTGCTATGTTCTCGGCATAAGGTCCCTCGGAGTGCTCCATCTCGCACGTAGCGATCCTTGTTTTGGCATAATTTAGAGCATAGGTAGCCAAAGTGGTGTTCCAAGACACTGGGCCGACGCCATTCTCAGCTCGGATGGCATTTGTGGCATCGACCCATTCCTTGGGGCTGCTTTCGGCGATCGTTGGAGAGATTTGAGCTAGGATTAGGGCAATTCCGACGATCCAAAGTGCGGGAAGAAAGTCGGAATATGCCATTGTAACGAGTTTTAGTTGAAGGATTGGTGGGGTTGTATTGGTTTGGGACATTCGTGTTTGGTTTAGGGTATTTATATGTTGAGAAGATCACATGTTTGTTGGGATAGAATTACATTAAGAGATAAAAGTGGAGAAACATTCAAATTCCTTAAATTCCTCGAGAAAAAACAAATGCCTAATCTCTTTCCTCAAATTAACTTGGTCCACAATTTTAAATAGATGTAATGCCTATTATTAAATTACTGTTTTTAGAGTGATTATAAACAAAATTAAAGGGTTTATTATAGATATAAGAGTTTATTAATATTTCTTAACATTTCAATAATTATTTTTAAAATGCTAAGTGAACATAAGCTAGAATATCAAACTCTATAAATTAACTTACATTGTACTATTTGTGGCGAATGGGATTAATAAGCTCAGCTTGGATTAATAAACATTTTAATAATTCTTCTTATCGTTCTAATTGATTGTTCCATCTTAGTTTAATTTGTTCATGAAAATTTGGTTCAGGAATACTTTTAATACATTCTCTATTTCGATTCATGTACTTATTAGATTCATTTGGTTCATCTCCCACGTTCGTATATGAATTATCTTTATTTATGTATGAGCATTAGCATTTTTATGTTATATAAAGGTTTGTTTGATGTTGTTATGAGATGTGGGAGACACACTCGTATACACTTAGGCTATAGTGATTGGTCATTACCCTTGGAGGTAGGAGAACTTCTTCTCTCCGAACCACGTCAAAATACTCTTGTATCCACGTAAGTTGTTGTGTATTTTTATTCAATTATGTTCGTGAGTGTCATGGATATTTCTTCAACTTCCGCTACAACCATTGGTATCAGAATATTTTAATTGTGACAGTTGGGGTATTGTGAGAGACTTAACCACGAGACACGTTCACACTCACCATCAATTGTCAGAAAATAAGTTTCTCATTGCAACTTTGTTTATTTGTTCTTGAAAATATGATTTTCAAAAATTGTGCTTATATCTATCCATTCAGATTTTTATTTTTGTGTCTAAACTTGTTTTGAGTGGCAATATCGTTCCCTACTAAATCATAGTATGGATCGAGGATTTCGAGTTCTAATTTTGAAATGGTTGCTTCTACTAAATAACCTATTGAGCACGTAGCGGGATCATCTTAAGGACTTAGAGTCGGTGGAGCAAAGCCTCAAAAATGAAAGAGTATAGAAATCTAAGTCATTTGCAAGGAACAAACCACGAAGTGAAATTCGAAAACCTACCAGGTTTGACGATACGATAGCGTACGCTCTCCCTATGATTCATGAAGTTCCCAACCACTACAAAGATGATATTCAAAATCAAAATAGCTTACATAACAAGAGGCTACGACGGAAGAGATAGGTTTGACTTGTGGTTAAAGGCAATGCTAAGAAGGAAGAGATTTATTATTTTTTCACATGGGGTAAAGCATTCTTCCTTTCATATTTGGTTGGTTTTGGTTGCTCAAGTTAATCTTGTGCTCCAACTAGCTGCAGCGATAACAGCCTCCGCTAGGATCCATATGTACCCTTATATCTCAAGAGAGGACTGCTACTATACTGACACTGACTCAGTTGTACTTGGTCACCCACTACCTAATGAAGAGATTTCATCTTCTGTCACAACTCGATGCAAAAAAATGTTTTCTTGCATAAAAATTTAGAAGAATAAATATATATGGACAACTAATTAGCTTTCGAGTAGTTGGGCAACAATATTTAGTATGCAGGTTGAAGAAATCTTTGTATGGGCTATAACAATCTTCTCACCAATGGTACAAGAGGTTTGATCACTTCATGGTGGAGCAGAGGTGTAGAGGTATACTCAGAGCCAATTTGATCATTATGTGTACTTTCAGTGCCTTGATGATGATCTATTTATCTATTTGGTCTTGTATGTTGATGTCATGTCGATTACTTCCAAGAGGCAAGTGGAGATTGATAAACGTCATTCCACTACTAGTTATTCGTTGACTATGGCTACTGGACCTATTTGTTGGTGCTTAATTTGCATACTACTATTGCATTGTTTACAACCCAAGTAGAGTATAAGGTAATCATTTAAACTTGCTATTTGGATGAATGGTTTGATTAATGACTTGGTATTTCTTAAGAACACCTAGAGGTATTTGTGATAGCCGTAGTTCTATTTGTTTGTCGAATAACTAAATCTATCCGGCTCTCACTAAGCATATTAATGTTTGATTTCATTTTGTTCGAATAATTGCTAATGAAGGGAGACATTCATCTATTGAAAATTGAAACGAGTGATAACCTTGCGAATATATTGACAAAGGTAGTTGCTTGTGAAAAGTTATAACATTGCTTGTATCTACTAACATTAGATTGGCGTGATAAATTTAATAAAGATAAGTGGATAAGTTTGCAGAAGTAAGATATTAAGTACTGTGTGAAAAATGATTTATGTCTAGCCAGTACCATGCTTCAAAAGAAACTGTCACTGGTGGGAACTCGGAGGATTCAAGTGGCAGGGGTGGGTGCCTCCACTCAGGAAGAGGTCCGGCGACAAGTAGAGGGCCTGCTTTCATCACTGTTTCCAAGAGCTTGCCTTTTTCAGGCAATGGCTTCTCTGGAACCAATTCTACTACGACCTGCGATTGTGCTTGTGGCGGCGAAGCTGTAGCGAACTGTGGTGGCGGAATTGGATCAATGGCAAGAGACAATACAATGCTTTCTTCGCAATCCGACAAGGAGAAGCCATTGTTGGAATCTATTTCTTTCCTTGATTCATCTTCAATGCTGGAAATTACCGAATGAGGACCTATTCGGTGCTGAAGGAAAAGCTTCTCAATTTATAACTTCTAGATCTTTTCATTTGCTTCTACTACAGCCACTGACCTTTGCACGAGCCAACTCTCTGTCCAGAGTTTTCCTTTCCTCATTCATCTCCTGAATTTTGCGCTGATAATCTCTCACAACATTCGAGCAGCCACACCACGCAACAATGACAGCCTCCTCCAGCTCCCTCACAGTTTGCGTTAATTTTTCAGCCTTGCAATTTTTTGTCGGCGCATCTTGTCCAAGATTTTGTTTTCTTCCTGACAAATCTCTATCTGTTTCATTAACTCTTGATTTTTGTTCGGTAAATCATCCATCATAGAGGTCTTGGCCATGACACTTTGAACAGTCCTCTTAGCATCAACCAAAGTCGCTTCCTTTGATTTGGTTAGATGATCCAGTGCTTTGTTGTCATCTTGAAGCTTTGCAATCTCCTGTCTTGCAAGCTTGGGCTCAGCCTCCAAAGGTGCAACAATGTCTTCGATTGGAGGCATGTCATCATCCTTTAAGTAGCATGAGCGGCAAATTGAGCTGCCATTGAAGCCTTCTTCTCATCATTGATTTCCTTTATTTCAAGATACTTGGTGAAAAGATTCTGTCAACTTTAATTTCTCCTCGGCCTTTGATAGTTCTTCGGTCTGCTCTTCAACTACCTTCTCTCTAAGCTGCTCAAACAACTTCAAAGCCTTGATCTTCGCCTGAGCTTCTCCGAGCTCTCAATCCTTATCTCGTACTTCATTCTCAAGGCGATTGAGCTCCAGCTTCACCAGATCCGAGCCATGAAACAAGTACAAGAAGTCATCGGTGTCCATAATCGGCTTGACCGATGTCCGCCGCTGCAACGAGCTTTTCCCCTCCCTTAATTAAAGATCCGGAGATCGTCAACGGCGTTGAATTTGATGGCGAAATCGACATCGAGATAGCCTGGGATCCACCACCCGTCCGTTACTCACCTCCGGCAAAAACCCATCTCCATCGCCAGATATCTCCGCCATAACCTGATTTATCCAAATCTCTCCCTTCTCCCCTTCACATAACCAAGAGCTTGTGCCACATAAACCTCCTCATCCAAGAACTTTTTTCTTTCTACCACTCCGTTTTGCTGTGTTGTAGAGGCTGCAGTGAGTTGTCGATGTGATGTGCCACATAATCGCATGATTTCGTCGTTGCTTTTTCAACATGTGCAATAAGAAGTAATTCTTTTTCAAACAAACAACATATGTCATGAGAAGCAACGGTTCAGAAGTTTCAACAAAATGAGCTTGTGATTCCTTTTTCTTATTCTTCCTAGAATATTTATACTGAAAATGACCAAAGTCATGACAATAAAAACCGTCAACAAAAGTTTTGTTAAAACCTGGTCTCCCATGTCCTCGTTCTCTACCTCCAATTATGTCACCTCCACGATTTGTTCTCCTTATACTTCTGTCAAGAGTAATCTTCAATGCCTGCTCTTCCACAATATGTCTTTGCATACGTTGTTCATGAACCAGTAGACTACTCTACAATTCATTAATGGTCATGTTGTCCAAATCATTGGATTCTTCATTGGAGCAAGCCACGTAATCAAACTTTGAAGTCGTGGAGCGCAGGATTTTCTCAATAATGCTAACATCACTAATCTTTTCACCATGGAAACGCATTTTATTAGCAATGGTGAGAGTACGAGAAAAGAAATCAGAAACAATCTTACCTTCCTTCATATGAAGAGTCTCAAAGTCCTTGCGCAGAGTCTGTAGTTGTGCTCGTTTCACCCTTGTATTTCCTTGGAATTTTATCTTATTGAATCCCAAAATCCTTTGAAGTTTTTTTTTATCCAAAATAGTCTCCAGAATTGAGTGATCGATGGCTGGAAAAGGTAATTCTTAGCTCTTTAAGTCTTTCAATTTCTGATTTGTCACCTCCTTCTTATGTTCATTTGAGTAATCAGCATCATCTGCTATGGCAGAAATCTCAGACTCAACTACTTGTCAATATTCTCTAGAACGAAGAAAGTTCTTCATTAACATGCTCCAATGATCGTAGTGACCAACAAATTTTGGTATTGCTAGTTGAACAAAACTGTCCTCATCAATAGTCATCTTTAGCTACGACCCAAAGAGACAAGGTTCTAATATGAACGGATAAATTTAATAAAGACAAGTTTACGGAAATTAAGTACTTTATTATGTCAAAGATACTATATTTATAGGCAAAGATAAAAATAAAATCCTAACCTCAAAACAAATAAAATCCCTCCCTTGAATTGATAACCTACAACTAAATTTTTTGTTAACGGAAGAAGTAGCTCATTGACTTGGTGACAGCCGTTATCAACTTCGAGAACTTCTGGCAAAGTGGTGCTGGTTGTGCTTGTTGAGAATTGTCATGAAGATTCTTTTTACTCTCAACCTTTTTCCCTCCCTTTTTTGGTTCTCTTTGGTCCTATGCCAATCTTGAACGATTCTTAACCTTTTTTATCGCAATGGCTTGTGACCTGATTTTTTAGAACAAGTAAATTATTTTCGATATTTAATTTTCTAACCTAACTCGACTTAATTGTAACAAAATTGATGTAATTAACTAACCGAAATGGATTTCCACGACGATTCTACCTTAACCATTTCAAGATTGGGACTGCGCAAACCAAGCAAACAGATTGGAATACTTTAATTGACCAAGACTTTTATCGAATAGAAAGATGGATAATTCTTGTCTACTAAAAATTTACAAATCAACTTGTTTGTAATGATTATATTAGTAGGACAAAGAGTATAACTCTAAGTTTATAATAGAGTAACCTATATAGGTAATTAATAAAAATTTGAAATGTCCAAATTAATATTTAATATATAAGATACATGAAACATAAACGGAAAAAAGTATATTTAATGTTAAATGTTCAAATTAATTTAATAATTTTTATATATTAAATATGAACATATTCTCCAATTCCCGGTAAATAGGACTCTTATAGCTCTTCTTTCAAGTGTATCCCACAAACCTTCTTCATCTTTATAGAGTTCGTAGAACAAGCAGATTAGAGACATGTCAAAACTTTCCCCATATATTTTTTTCAATGCAAGTTGAACATGTAAGATTAATAATCTAAGTTTCTTTAACGTTTAATTCTAAATAAAATCAAAATTGACTCAAATGTTTCTTCTATGCGAATGAAATGTCAATTCGTAACACCTAATCATGGATCATTAAGCTGAACCCTCGTAGTATTCTATTAATATATGAAATGATTGGTATGGTGTAGGAACAATAAGAGGTTTTCCCGCTTATCCTTGAATCGTGAATCATCAAGGCAAGGTCAACCGTGGTTTCAAATGATGAGTTGATAGATGATCAAGAGGCTAGATTATGATAAATGATGAGCTCCAAAAAGACCAAGAAACGATAAACTCCAAGAAACTAGAGCAACCATGAGTCCTAAAGGACTAACCTAGGATGATTGATAATAGCTAAATATAAGGAACTAGCTAGATTATCTTGAGACTTTGAAAAACGACGTGCCTTGTCTTGAGCATGTTACGATCACAAAGTGTACAAGATAAATGAGAGGGAATCTACCAGAGCTTCAAGTGAGAAAAGAGAATCAAGTCGAGTCGAGAGGAAGAGAAGCTTTAGGGAGGTGGTATGGACAAAAGCTCTTCATGTCATCCTTGTCCATTTTCAAAACCTTTATTCCTTATATTCGAGAGTCAGGGTGTTCAAAAACCAATCAAAATCGGTCGAATCGGATACGTCAAAACCTAATTGACAGGTTTGGTCGAATTTATTTGTGGGAAAATTGGTTTGGTCAACTGATTAAAATATTATATCTTCGATCAAGAGATCATAGTACGAATTTTCATCTTCCACGTTTTATTGAACTCAAGAAAAAAATCAAAACTTGTGCATTTTTGCGCTTCGATAGATCGGTTAGCTCCATTCATTTTTTATGCAAGAATGCTTGATCAGTGAGGTATTATGCACTCGTGATTGAATAAATATTTATTTTGCACACAAATTTAAGTAAATAAGTAATTTTACGATATATGCCTCTTCGATATAGAAAGATCAACCCAAATGGAAGTTCAACAAAGGCAATACAACCCGCTTAGATTATAAGAAATTTTAGGGTTTAAGGTTTAGAATTTTGGATCAAATTATCGATAAGAACAATAACTAAAGTTGAAAGGCGGGGTTTGAGCCTATTATTTTGACATCGAGCTTAATAATAGTCGCAGATGGTGAAAATAAAGTTGTTGTCGCACTTAACTTCAGCGCAGCCAATGGATGTTGTGTCCTTCGCCACAATATTCAGGAAATGCCCGCACTCTTCCTTCACGCACTTTTTTGTTATGGGGTCATAAAACTCCTTCTCGCTAGCCCAAAGCTTCACTATCAATTCTGCTGTTGTCTTCTCATATGCTTCTGCTATGTTTTCGGCATAAGGTCCATTGGAGTGCTCCAACTCGCATGTAGCAATCCTTGTTTTGGCATAATCCAGAGCATAGGTAGCTAAAGTGGTGTTCCAAGACACCGGGCCGACGCCATTCTCGGCTCGGATGGCATTGTGGGCATCGACGAAGTCCTTGGGGCTGCTTTCGGCGATCGTTGGAGAGATTGGAGCTAGGATTAGGACAATTCCAACGATCCAAAATGCAGAGAAAAAGTTGGGAGATGCCATTCTAACGAGCTTTAGGTGAAGGATTGGTAGGGTTGTATTGGTTTGGGATATTTTTGTTTGGTTTAGGGTATTTATATATTGAAGATCACATGCTGTTGGATTTTGTTGGGATACAAAAACATCGACAGATAAAAGTTTCCTTAAATTCCTCGAAAAAAATAAATAAATAAATAAATGCAAATTAACTTGATTGCCAATTTTACAGAGATGTAATTCCTATTATTAAATTACTGTTTTTGAGTGCTTATAATCAAAATTAAAGGGTTGGTTGAAGAATAAATTATATTATTATTATTTTACCAATGTAAGAATTTACCAAAGATAAGATATAAGAATTAACCAATATTTCTCAAAATTAAATTACCTTAAAGAATTTACCAAATATAAGAATTTACCTTAAATTCCTCAAAATTAAATTATTCTTATAGATACAAGAATTTACCAATATTTCTTAACATTTCAATAATTATTTTTAAAATGCAAACAAACCGTGTGAACGTAAACCAAAATATGTTTTTGCATTGTTCTCATCGTTCTAACTAATTGTTCAATATTAGTTTAATTTCTTCGGGTGGAGAATTTTCATTCATGTACCCATTGGATTCATTTGGTTCATCTTCCATATTGGTACATAGAGCATCTTGATTCATGAATAAGCATTAGTATTATTATGTTTATATGAAGATTTGTCTAATATTATTATGAGATGTGGAATGAGTATCATTTTGTATTTGCCTAGAGGCAATTGGAAGGAATTTTGTAGATGAGATTGTAGTGTGAGAGTGTAAGAGATACTGTTGTAAACACTGCTATTGTCTTTTTATTCATTTATGTTTTGGTGAGTGTGAGTGACATGAATTTTTCTTCAACTTCCGCTACAACAATTGGTACCAAAGCATTTTAGTGGTGGCATTTGGGATATTGTGAAAAACTTAACCTCATCGACCACGAGACATGTTCACACTCACCATCAATTGTCAAAAAATAAGTTTCACATTGCAAGTTTGCTTATTTGTTCTTGGAAATCATATTTCCAAAATTTGTGATTATTTCTATCCATTCACATTATTATTTTGGTGGAGAGTTTTTCCTTATGGCTTCCCCTCGAGGTTTTAAAACGTAATTACTATGGAGAGGTTTTCACACGCTTATAAGGAATGTTTTGTTCTCTTCTCCAACCAATGTGGGATCTAACAATCCACCCCCTTTGAGGCCCAGTATCCTCACTGACACACCCAGTGCTCGACTCCGATACCATTTGTAACAGCCCAAGCCCACTACTGATAGATATTATCCGCTTTGACCAATTACGTATTACCGTCAGCCTCACAATTT